TTCTAATAAAATAGTTGCATGTAAAGCTATAGGGTTTCGCAATATGTAAATTATATATATAACGCTTATAAATTCGGGATTTTTAGAAATATCGTATGCGTCACGTGATGATGAGGCCTGGGTCCCAGGTCATGTGGATTTCACGATCATCTGATTTCACCATCATCTGCGACATAAATTATCCTAACATTCTAACCTAATATACAGCTTAATACAAGCCGATGTTTATGTTAATAATTAGTTATATAGTAACTTATCTCATATTCGGTCTTGTAATATTATATAATACAAGTAGTGAAATATTTCGATAAATTTTGCAGGATTTTTGGGAATTCGCGATTTGCCTGTCACTAAATACAGACATATAAATTCCAAAAGTGCATTTTGACTTTTATCAGAATTAAATCATGCGTTTCAGATGAATGTCTTCATTCAAACTTTGTTAAAGATAAAACATGCCTTGAAAGATTCACTCACCATGTATCTAAAGTTTTGACCTAAAATTACAACTGACTGGAATTACTATTTAATGCAGGCAAGAAGATCAATTAATATTAGGATTTAATTTCAGCCATGTACAGCTAAAGTAATAACTAATGAGCAGGTCTACTAATTGCAAATAAAAAAAATAGAAAATCTGGGATAACTCAAACCCACGAATTAATCATTAAAAATAAAAATACTATTATTATATAATTTATAGTACAGTAATAAAAAAAAAACTACGGAAAATTTCAAATTAATTATTTTTGAATAAAAATGATCCAAACTGAAAATTGCGACCTTTTATTAAGCATGAATAATATTTTATTTGCAAATAATACTGTATAAAAATGCTATTGAAGCCGAAGAAAATTTTGATAAAAAATCCATAAAAACTATGTTAGAAAATTTTGTTTGAAATTATTAAAAGGCTCGGTTGACGTGGTTAGAGTAAAATTAAAAAAAAAAGAGTAAAGCAAAAAATATCAGTAAAGAGTAAAAAAAATTAACAGCCAAGAGTTATCTGTAGGTGTAAAAAATATCAGTAAAAAGTAAGAAAAATTAACAGCAAGCCGAATTGCATAATGTTCCAAGAGTTGGGTCTAAATAAGAAACTAAACAATAATACATGTTGAAGTTATTAAATACATTCTTCGGGTAATACTTTCATATTGAAAAATTTATACTCATAAAAAATGTAGAAAAATACTGTATGAAAAAAGATTTGTTAAAACAAAAAAAGAATATCTTCTGTTGCCCTTCTTTTTCTCTTTGATGTTTACTCAATCTTGTTTAGAGCCTTAATCCATCCCTTCTTGCCAAAAAACAACACATTATCGTAAGGTAATTGACCAGTAGTTTCTATTCAATATAATAAGAAATTTCTTAGTTTCTGTATAAGGTGTAGCTTTTTGTAATGTGTGAGTACCTAAAAAAAGAAAACAAGTCAGGAAGAAATTTACATACCTTATTAGGAAATATTTCATCTACGTCAAGTATTCTTTAAGTTTTTATTTGCTTAAGGTGGTGTTTTAAAATATTGCTACGAAGTTTTATATATGTGTATTATTATTAAAAAATAATTCTTAAATGTCTTTTTATAAAATAGCCAAGTTCGGTTATTTTGGTCTTCTATTAGAGTATTAAATACAGTAGAAGGTTGAGCATGTTGATAATTTTTTTATTATAATTCTTTACAAAAGAGAGAAATGTGAATTATTTATAACACTAATGACTGTTGTCTACATACACGTGACTCGAATAATTCGAGAGATTATCATGATAATGATTCGTGAGAACGCGTAAAGTATATTAATATGCTTTCATTTTTTAGATCGTAATATGTATGATATACTGTATAAGTACCATAGTGTAAAATTGAATTTCAGAATAATAAGTTTATTATTTATTAGACTCTATCAACTCTTAAAAAATCTAACTACCGAAATGATTAAAAAAACTAACATAGAACCCATAATGTATCTGTTTTTATAAATTATAATTTAAATATTTGTGATTCGAATAATTCTAATAAATTCGAATAAAAATTAACTCAATATACCTTATTTTATTTTATTTTTTTCATTATAAAAGACAGATATTTTAATATTTTAATGTTGCTGGATAATTTAAGTAACATAGATCACCTATAGACTACCAAATACTTTGGCACCAATGGCATTGTTAATATTCTTTAATAATAATCAAACGATCGTCTATTTTGGAAATAAAATAAAGATAATAAAGAGCTAAAAATTATGCTTAATAAACACCAAGATACACTAAATAAAATGACATCCGTTTAAATAAAATTGGAATAAAGCCTTCTATTAGCCAAAGAACAGTCAATGACATTTTCATTTATTTAGGATTGATGGTAAACTATTATATTACTTATTAATTTGGTCAGCATGCATGAAACCCAAAATTAATAATTATTTATATTATATATAGATTATACATATATTTCTTGCAGATAATCTTCATTCTCATGATAATGATGACGATAAAGAATGAACATGATTGAATTATAATATAATAGATGCCATTGAAATATCTGCAACTAAGGGAATGCAAATACATAAAAAATAGAAAAATGATATATCACAGAAAACGCGCTTAAAAATTCATAGAGGAGTTAGAACTATGTATTTTTGGTTAATATAGAAAATGAATATAAAGGAGAGACAAAAAGTGCTCCCATACCTAAAAACGTGCCCAAAAGCATGTTACGTGTGCTTATAATATGGACATGGCTTCTAATATTAAACATGGCTAGTTGAGGCATAAGGTTTGCAATTAGTAGCTCTAGGTTCGAAAGTTCAGACATGTTGTAGAACTTATTGCTTTTTTAAAAAGCTCATTCTATTATTATTAAAAATAAAGCTAGATCCGGTGATCAATTGAAAAGTAATTTTGTTTTTCTTCCATGAACACGTAATAAACAGTAAATATTTAATATAATTTAAATTTTGTATATAAACAAAATTCAAATCCTGAGTTGGTCGTATTATTGACATGTATAGCTGCGTTTGTACAGTAATTAAAACTTAAATGATTCTTGGAAAGTGAACAATAAAAGAGCTATTATTATCATTATAAATGAAGATTTATATTTATTTGCGCACGTGATACAAATGCTAGACCTCTAACCCAACTCTAATGCCGGCTGATAAAGTTAATGCAGGTCGTTGTTATGTGAATAATGGAAGTACGTACGTACGTACGTAGGAATGTGATTTTACACATTTGTTCTTATAACTTTTACCTCCAAATTATATTTAATCGTGTTTTTTCCTTTTTTATTTAATTTCGGGTTTAAATTTCTTTACTGCATTAATGCTAGCCAAATTCAGACCTAATAGCAAAGTTGTAAGCGGAACTAACAAATTTTGACGAGTAAGTTACTTAAACACTTGATATACAGTAATTAATTTTCTAGTTTATTAGAAGCTATACATACAGTATATATTGTATGTATGTACATGTGAATACCGGAAATAAATAATCAAGTAATAATAACCGTATAGAGATTTATCTCAATCGCGATGGGTAATTTATTTCACTTAGTACGCTATACCGTTTTTTTTTTTTTAAATTACGTAGATAAATTTTTTTAATGTTTCTTAAAATGAATTGATTGAAATAATTTTACCTTTACATAACATTACATACAAAAAATATAATTTACGTCATAATGATATCATAGCATGAGATAATGATAGAACTCTAACAAAAAATATATTTACTAAAAAAAAATCCATGAGAAAAATTCCAGTATTACAATTAATTTAAATCTAATGCTAAAGATGAAATTATGTAAGTGATGATTTTAAATGATAACGATAAATGATCCCAACTTGAATACGAAACCTAATCATAATATATATATATGTGTGTGTGTAATTATATATATAATTTGTTATATATTATATACAACAAGCAGGTCGAGTCGATTAATATCCCTAATTAATCTCTATTTTCTATACATAGTATCGGTATATAGAATCTCGGGGGGCTGTAAGGCTGTTTTTAGCCCCTAGCATTCATTCATTCATTAATGAATAGTATCATATACGTTGACAAAAGAAATTGTCCTCATGGAGATGAGGTAATAGAAGAGCAACCACCCGAATATATTAAAAAATATGTATACATATATATACTTTGTTGCTGACATAACAGTGATAATATATACATATTTGTTTATTCATTCATTCACTCATTCGCTTTATTTGTTTATTGAGAATCATTAATTGATGCCTGTAATTCAGGTAAATTTACCTGGGAAGATTTACTACGAAGGGATTCCAAGTTAGGAAGACAAAAAGAACTTTTAATCTTAAAAATTCATAATTACAGAATTAGGAATTTACAAGATTAACAGTACGTAGCAGTAGCAGGTCTTTTCAAACTCTACCAGATATATTATCGTGGGAACTGTCCTGCTCATCTGTAATAGACATGTGAATTACAATATATATACAACGATAACGTTTGTAACGGTAAATAAAACATATGACATAACTGTCCATTCAGGTTTTTTTTAACCTATTTTTAAATTTTGCTATTCATAATAAAAAAAGTTTGCCACGTTTATTTTAAGACATGATGTTTTTCTTGACGTGTTCAGATACTAAAAAAATCAACAATTAAATAGGTAAATGCTCGTGTACTATTTTTTTCAATCTATAATATATACTGTAATATATGAAGACCAGCAATAATAAAAGAATCTGGTGTATACAACAAATAATTATCACTATTGTCATTATCAACATCTATTGTTATCTATCGTCATTACCTTTATCGTTATATTTTATTTGCACTCAGTAAATTGTATTGTAAGAGTATCCAAGATATTTATAGGATAGATTTTGAAATATAATATCTCTGTTTAGTTTCAAATATCAAAAACCAATCTATATTTGCAAAAAAGGTGTAAGATTTAATTTTATGGTTTTATACAGTTATGATCCTAGTGTAAAAATTGCGTAATTTAAATACATTGTCTTTTAAAAAAATAAAAAATTAAACACTAATTTAAAAAAAAGAAAAAAACAAAATTCAAACTCCTACAACTTTCCAAAATGTTTGTTTTATCTTTCTTACCCAACTTCTACCAATTATACACTTGCAAATTTGTTTGCCACAATGGTAACAAAATGTATTTCCACAAGGACAATGAATATTTTTACATCCTCCTCTCCTTTCAATAAAAACTCCACACACCGTACATTGACGCCATCCACGTTTTTCCGTGATCTTTCTAAATCTTTTTTCATTTTTTCCATTCCAACATTTTTTATTAGGATGTGTATGAGATCTACATTTCACACAAATTTCTTTCTCACAATCTGGACACGCTGATGTTTCCGATTCAGCAGTAACATGAATAGGTCTTTCACATCCTGGTGTTGGACAAAATAATTTATGTGACGCTCTACCTGTTCTTTGAATTATTTGTTGTGAATCTTCAGGTGTGAATATTTTAAGAACAAAATCTACATTAATCTCTTTATTACAACATCTAATAGGAAGAACATATGTTGGGTCGGTAAATAATTTATATAGGCATGTCTGACAAAATTTATGTTCACATTCCAAATCATATAATGTTTCAGTTTCTTCGATACACACATCGCAAGTTTTAACCATTGTAGAATTCTTATTTTCCATACAAGTTTTTGTTTCTAAAGGTGTTGTTGATTCTTGTTGATCTTTAGGTGTTTCTTGTTTATCCTTTGGTGTTTCTTGTTTATCCTTTGGTGTTTCTTGTTCAAATTCCTGTTTTTTGAATTGTTCAAATCCTCTCGTTTTGATTTCTACTTCAGTTTCAAAATTTTGAAGTCGTTCGTCGTTAGAAAGCTTCATAACTGTCAATTTATATATATTTTATATATATATTTATTTATTTATTTATTATATTGTTTTTCTTTTTTTTTTTTAAGAAAATAGACAATTACGGTTAAAAAGAATCATTGATAAAAAAATTATTCTCATCAAACTCCTTTCTATTTATAAAAATACTGCGTTTATTTTTCTTTGTGTTATCTAGTCTAAATTTAATCCCTTGCATGATTATTTAACTTACCAATTTTAATTTCACAAAGTTCGATTCGCCCGGATCATATAAAACAATGCGTGTTGTGTTCCTTTTTTCTTGTTTCGCAAATGGGAAAAATCTTTCCGGCACTCCATGGTAATAACTTTATCATATGATATGACCTTTATCTACCTTTTCTTAGTATAACAAGTATCTTTCATTACGAGTTTTTTTTTCCAATCTTAATTGTTCGGATAATTCGGAGTCTCTAACCGTTGAGTTCACATAAGTTCGGCGTATGTTTTCATACATCTACGTATCCCTTATTAGAAGTTCGGCTTACATTCTTTTTTAACAAAAGTTTATATACCTAAAAGATTCTATGTGTAAATCCTATCCATTATTAGAAATATTTATTTACTAAATATTTACAAAATTAAAGATGTAACTGGTTTTAAAAATATTAGCTAAACAAGGTTGTAAATAAGATTTTTTTTTTTTACGTAAAATGTATACCTGCATGGTAATGCATTTCCCCTAAATTGTCGATTATCACGTGTCATTAATAAACTTTTCGAAAAAGATGTTTAATGCAATCAATTATCTCGGAAATTCGACTTTTAATTGCTCAGCTTCTTTGGATAAAATTTTATTGTACATAGTTAAGCGCATTTGTTTTATGTACATTACGTATGTAAATACGTACATATATAAAATTTCTTGATTTAGAATAATCTAAAAGCCGCTCTTTCTATATCTGTTAAAGTGACTTTTATAATCTGTTAAAGTGACTTTTATAGTCTACTTAAAAAAAGTTAGCAACTCAAATACTGAAATAACTATTAAAGTATTCGAGAATTTAGCCTTTACATACATGTTCAAGATGATATTCTAATGCAAAACATAATTAAGTTTGTTCTTTGTGAAAATTCTTTGTAATTATCATTACGAAAGTACCTCCTTTGAGATGTAACCATTAGGAGATGCGAAATTTGAATCTGTGTCCGATTTGCAGATCTACACGTGTAACATCTATGGGTAACAAACAATTCTATTGGCCGATAGTAATTTTGTTATCGATTAACAAAGTTAAAATTATATTATATACAGTATTTTTGTGTGTAATTTTTTTAATATTATTTTCGATAAAAATTTTAGAATAAAATTAAAAATCATTGTTATCGGTACTGGCTAAGTGGTTATCAAAAAAAAACTCTGTTCAAAATTAGAAAACTTCTTCGCGCCTATAGACAAAACTTTGAACGAAATTTTCTTTAAAAATCTATTTGAATTTACAATAATGTAAATTAACATAAAAAAAAAAAAGATTTTATTTTAAAACTGGCCAGGTAATTGTCAAAAAATTTTTGGCTCAAAGTTTTAAAAAATTGGTTCATTTTTATTTTGGCCTGGATTTAAGATCTGTCATCATAACGCCTACTGCTGTACTGCATTAATTTGCGAATCATAATGCTGAATTTTTGCTGAATCATCTTTTATCACGGACGGAATACTCACATGGGTATTATTTCGAAAATTCCTTTTTTTGGAAAATCGCATATTTGACTCAAAATAACGCACCCCGCATACATAGTCTCAGAAAAGTTTTTAGTAGTTGTAACTTTTTTCGAATTATCGCGCGTGTGCGTTCCGAAATAGAGCACTGGGTCTCAATCAGTGTATAAAATCTCACCTCAAAAACATGTGAATATTGTGCACATTATACACTTAATTTATGTGAATAATTTTAAAAATTAGTGCACTATAAATTTTTATAATACTATAAACCATTTTATATAGATATCTATTTAATTTACATATAATAAATTTGGTGCACTATATAGCTAGAGATCTTGTAAATTTCGTGCACATGTCTAGCTAAAAACATACTGTATGAAAACTTTTGAGAACAAACTAAAAACATAAAATTTATAAGTTATGTTCTCATAAGATATATATAAAATTAATAATAATAATTTTATTATTATTATTTATT